AGAGAGAGAGAGAGATGGAGATATTTGACTCGTATTTCGAAAATATTATCGAGAAGAATGTTTTTTGGGAAGAGAAGAGAGAGAGGAAGGTTGAATTGGAGAATCGAGTGATGGGGCACGCGAGGCAAAATTTTACACGTACGAGAAATTATATCGAACGCGATACCGCGATATAAAATATACGGTAATAAAACGCAGAGAAACGAGAGGATCAAAGAGGCCATTTCGTTATCGGTTGCTGCATTTCGATAAGGAAAAGAGCTTAGAGAAACGCGAGCAGTTCCAATCGATGTTCTAATAACTGTTTACTACACTGGAACACGCATCGATTAACTCTTCATTTCCAATTACTTGGCTCGGGTAATTGCGAGTAACGAGCTCACCGGCGATCATCGGTTTTCCCTCGTTTCGTTCGCACGAAGGGGCACGAAGACAGTAAGTCTGGGGACACTCTCTCTATACATGCACCCTTAGATCGAAGCATTTAATTACCCCCGATTCGAACGCTTTTATACACGCATTTTTAGAGAACGTTTTTCGATTTCGATATTATAACACGGTCACTTTTCGTTTCGTTATGGGTTCCTTTATATATTTAATGAATTGTCCCATCGCGGGAGAGGAGGACGCGTCGACGATGTTGTTCCTTCATTGTAACTCTCCGCTCGTTTATTATCGCCGAGGGAGATTTCGATAGGAGGGCTCTCCTGTGTGTGTGTGTGTGTGTGTGTGTGTGTGTGTGGAAATTGATAAAGCGTGCTGCCTTCGTTATGAAAGTTCCCCCCTCCGATAACACTCGAGATTCGGACATTTTTTTCTTTCCTTTTCCCGAAATCCCTTCTCCCTATCTCGGGACATTTTAAAAGTAATTCTTTTTTTTTTTTTTTTTTTATTTATTTATTGCCGAAGCCTCGAGAAAAATTTGTATGCATTAATAATTTCCCCATTACAATAACTCCTCCTTCTCCTCCCCTCCTCTCGATCCAATCATCGACCTCCGCTCGGTCCTTCCTTTCAACGTCCTTCGCCGTTCCTCCTCGCTGAACCACGATTTCACGTTCCACGTTCCATTAGAGGCTGATTGTTCGTATCGCGGTCGCGGTGGACGCACACGTGAGCCGATCGGTGCGTGTACCGAAAAGGAGTACACCTCTCCGCAACACACAGGGAGAGGAGGAGGAGGAGGAGGAGGAGGAGGCTCGTCGAAGGCCTCTCTCGAGTCGCTATCTGAGGGAGCACTCATCGCGGTCGCTTCGTTATCGGCAGCGCGGAATCATAATGGGCCATAATTGCATAAATATAATGTTAATTAACAATTAAGATTGCCGCTTTGCCTAATTGAATCGCCGCTCCTGCAGCGGCCGCGCCCCCTCGCCGCTCGATCGGATTGGAGAGAGGTGGCTTTAAACGTAACGCCGTATCGGAAAATTATGCCGATGGCCGTGGCTCGAGTATGCACACGCTCGATCCCCGGAGAGAGGAGAGAAACGTGACCGTGTGTCGCCTTAGAAAAACGCGTATTCATATATATATATATATACACGCTCTGGATGCCGATTCGGAGAAATAAAGAAGAGGGTGGAAGGCGAGGACTCGTTGGTCAAGATTCAAATGAAATCGTGTTTCGAGAGAATTACGAGATATCGCTCTTTTTACCAATTATCGAGAGAAAGGAGAATATATATGAATGTATATTTTTTCGTTGTTCGCGGTTTCTCACTCGAGAGATTGTCAGACCTCAAGACGAGGTCATAATTGAAACGTTTGCGATACATTCGTTTGGATGGCATAAACCTGGGACTCTTTCGTAGATTTCGTTCTAATGAGATCGTATGAGAGAAATATTAGGAAGAAGAAAAAATCGATCGTTCGGATTGTATTATGGGTGAAGTAAAAGCACGGTGAAATTAATTGAAAAGCGTCGAGGTATCGACATACGGTCGTTGAACTGTTAGCAGCATCTATCGATCGTGGACACGGAATTTCGGGGATGTAATTAGCGGCGTGCAGAGATGCAATAATAATTAATTCCCGTTAATCCTCGCGGAGTGAATCGACCGGTAGTCAACGGAGCTTTCCGTATTCCGGGAGAAATAAATGGGGATTCGTGTTCCCAGCGAAATCTTTTGCCCCGATCGAGGCTTCCTATTTTTGCCCTATTTTTCCTAGTTTTCTTCGAGCGGACGAATTTTATCCCGTTATTTTTGTTTTCTTTTTCCAGATGGTACAAGCGATCCAGGTCCTCCGGTTTCACCTCCTCGAGCTAGAAAAGGTGAGTGAATGAACTTTTGCGATTTCACAAATCGTGTATTATTTATTATACGATATGTATTTGAAAAGTATCCTACTTTTACAACGTTATCTTTTCAACTTTAATATCGATTAATTTGGTTTTAAATAATTGGTGAATTAATTGCGTGCGTAATTGTCGCTGCAATAAATTCACTCGTGATTTAATAAATATATATATATATAAAATTAAACTTTATTAATGATATTTACAATCTTAACGCTCGAAAAATAAAAATAAGCGTGTGACTTTTGTGATAAGATTTTTGATAAGCCACATCTTCGATAACTTATTGATACATGTCGTAAATTTTTTTTTCTTTTAGCGAAGATTAAATGACGAGAATAATAAATTTCGTATGTATCATTCAAAATGTTTACGAGCGTTAAGGAATTAATAATTACATAATATATATATATATATATAAATATCTACAACGTAAAATAAATAGAGAATTAATTTGTTAAGCATCGGAAAGATATCGTACTTGCAATTTCCGTGAAATCCTTTTTTTTTTTTTTTCACGAGAACCTTGCTTGCTGTCCCCCATCAGATTTACACAAATACGACGTTCTAATACGATATAAAACAAAATTAACATCTCTGCGTGAAATCAATCGAATACAGATTCGAGATTATATTGCAAAAATAATTTCCACGATTATTTTTTTATACTCTCATCGTCAAATACGTTCCTTACCTTAATATCGAACCTATCCACGAGCGGAAAGGCCCTTAATAATTAGTTTCACACACGCGAAATATTAGATTAATAGAACGGAAGCGAGCGCGCGTGGTCCGCTCCAATTGTCGGGGATTACCGGGTGTAGATAAGCCGTTCGAAACGGTTGAAAAACAACTGTTACGGGTGGAGCCGCAATTTTCCGTAATTGTAGTGAAAGCTCGGCCACCACCCGTCCTCGTCGTCGTCATCGTCGTCGGTCGTCGCTCGACTATGGCGTGCACCTTGGCTCCGCTCTCCACAGCCGTAAGTGGCGTCATTTACCTGTCCAATGGCCGCTAGACGGTGCTCCCCGAGTTGTTTGCATTGGAACGGCCATCTTTCTCCACCCGAGGTCCTGATTTTTCTCTCTCTCTCTCTCTTCTTTTTCTCTCCCCCCATTCCCTTCAAGCTCTCCCCTCCTTGTGAACCGGAAACTCGTAAATCGGAGTACATGTGTCGCGTAATAGATTCCACGGAGCGGTTCAAAGTCACGGCAGGAGAGGAGAGGCAACCGTTTAAGCGTGAATTTACGATTTTTATTTTTGAAACGAGATGCGGATACAGGATAGGTGAAGTAATAAGTTACGATTGAATAAATTATACCGTGGAGTGGTAATGCATGTTTCCCGGGACGACGAAGAAGAAGTTTGCGAGGTTCCCTCTTATTCTTAGATCGGCGAAACACAACTAAAGTTTCGATTCAGTCTGGTCGGGTTTAGCTATTACTGTCTCGCGAAAGTGCAACTTTCCTGCTTTCTTGAAATATCGAAATACCCTTTCGAAAATATCTTGGAAACGTGTAATAACATATCGATATCGATCGAAAATTGATTTAAGAATGAAAATTAGACGTGTGAAATTCATACGAAGCTCGTATTTTTTTAAAGATTTTCGTCATCGATCGATCAACTTTCGATTTACCCGCGAATACTAATTAAGACGAGGGGTCAGAATGTACGAACGTCGGTCCCAGAGGGCTGGAAAAAGTCGCGGTTCGGTCTCGTGTCGCTGTCCAATCGACGACGACACGAGAGCGAACAGCGGTCGGGATTAATTGAACCGGGATATCCGGTTTAATATTCCGCGCTCGTTCTCACGTCGTTGCTCCATGAGAGCGGTATAAATAAATATTGCATTAGAAGTACGGCCTCGTGTTTCGGCCTCCCGTCGAGCTTTTTCTCTCCCCTTAACGATTGATAACCGATTCGAAAAGAGGAGAGGGCAAGAGAATGGACGGACGGTTCGTCGAAAGGAAAGAGAAGGAGGAGGAGGGGAGGAGCGCGAGTTTTCGGGACCACGGTTTGCGTGGTTGCAGAATACCAGGGCCCGGGTTTCGGCCCCGTTTTTGCGCCGATATTTTATCATACGAAATAGCGGACATCCATCGCATTTCCATCGAAATGGCAGCTGACGTGGCGGCGCGGCAGCCATTGGAGACCGGCCAGCTCGATCCCCGACCCTCGTGTGTGCGCTGCTCCCTCTCGGCCCGCCTCGGATCGGCCCGCTCGATCCTGCAATTTTATACCAATTTTCCTCATTTGCCGCGATTACATTATTATAAAGGCAGGGGGCTATCCTTACGGCGAATCCGCACGCGGCCCTTTCTTCTTTTTCTTTTTTTTCCTCTCTTCCTCTCGCTCTTTTTCTTCTCCTTTCTCTCCGTTTATACGCATGTGCATACGGTCGTGCTTGCTCGACCTGGGGTTCTTTGTTTCGGATGATTTTTCGAAGGGAGAAGTGATAGGAAAAAAAAAATGTCAGGAATCTTGGAACGAAATATTTGCTTCGGGGCTGGTTTCGAGTCGAGTTGTACAATTTTTCATTTGATCGCGACTTACGTTTCTTAAGAAATTAGTAAAAGTGGCTTCCATTTTCTTGCTCGTCGAATTATAGAGAATATTAATTTTAATATATATATTCTCGAAACACCCTGTAAAAAGACGTCTTTAATTAAAAGAAAATTTATTAGAAAAAAAAAGAACGGATAAATATCTTTCCATCGAGGGAGCAGCATCACGCGATCGTTGCAAGAAAACGTTGTCAGTATCCGCGATACTCTTACGCTCGAGACACCGACCTTCCTCCCTGTCCACGAGTCGTATACACACCGAGGCGGCAAGAAATCGACGTCGACGTCGTCGTCGTCGTCGTCGTCGTCTCCTGCGGGAAGGAAGGTCCGGATAAGAAACCGTCTCACCGGGATCAAGACGCCAAACCGATATTCAATCCGCGGTCGTGGCTTTTTCCTCCCACGAAAACCGGGCCGGCCACGATTCCAATACGCCAGCCGGTGGATTTATTTCACCGAGATCGGCGTACGCGATATCGGTGGGGCGGGTCTCGAAAAGCCGCGACAAAACCTGGCCGCAATTTGGCACGGTGTGCGCACTGGCATCGGCCGGTAATGAAGATTGAAACGTTGCCTCGGTCCTCGGGGATCGGAGACACGCGGCGGCCTCTTCTTCGAGCCGAGGTCTTGGAGCGAGCAACGAGGAATGCAGCGAACGCGCGATCAAGAAGATTCCATAAATATCTGGAGCTCTCCTCGAGAGGAGCTGTAGGGCGGACGGAGGACGAGAGTGATAGGTGAAGAAGGGAGAGAGGCGATGAAAGGGAAGAGGAGGATGGAGTACGGGTGATAGGAGGTGGAAGAAGAAGAAGAAGATGGACGGAGCTTCGGATAGCTGGAGAAAGAAACGGAGGATGGAAGGGAGGAAGAAGGACGAATAATAGAGGCGAAGAGAGAGGTTGTCGAGTTGAAAAGAGAGAAAGGTTTCGTACCATTGAAGCATGGTAGCCCGCGGTGCTGCGCTTCGTGCATTTAACATTTTCGAGCCAATCGCGTATTAGCATAATTACGTTTTGCAGAGGGAAGAGGGAAAAAAGGACCGTCTTCTTGTATCTCGCTCCCTTTTCCCTCTCTTCTTCCACTCTCTCTCTCTCTCTCTCTCTTTCTCTCGAGTCTCCCTTTTCGCGTCGATCTTCGACGGTTGCATTGCAACTTCTCTTCTCTCCTTTCTCCCTGTCTGTTCGTGCCGTATGCAAGACACACGGTACGCTACACGTTATCGCCAGTTAGAGAGCGGTAAATTTCTTATGGGGGTATTATGCGGCGCATACCGGCCGAGATTCATACAGCGAACATCCTCGTACCACTCGGTCTTACCTGGCTCGCGAACTGGTTCTGCTTTATACCTAGCACTCTGGGGACATCCGCGCGCTTCCTCCCTCCTGTTGTTCCAGCCTGGTTTTCGTGGACGTCCCGATGGGCGGGACATCCGGGTCGACTTCCAAGGCTGTTTACCCTTCGCCCGCCATTTTAATATGGATCGTTTTGCGGGGATACCTCGGTTTTTGGGGATTAGAAAAGCGGATTTGCGACTTAACAGAGCGGTTGATGGGGAAGAACGGGTAGTTAAAGATGAGTTATAGGGTGTAAAATTGTGGACGGGCGTAGTGAAGGTTGATGAAGGTTGATTTTTACGCACGTTCCAATTTGGCCGAGAGAATTTTACCGTCTAAGTTCCGTGTATTTACGAAACGAGAAAAAACGAGTATCGTTAGATAGATAACACGAAATCGATTCAAATATCGAGCAAATATGAAACAAGAAGAATCGCAAGAACCGGTGTGCAACCCCTTGCGAGACGATTGCTTTTCGAAACGAAAACGAATCGCCTCCCTTCGTCCGGCGAAACGTCATCGACAGGCTGCGGAAGGAGAGTTGCAGTCGTTGGTAGGCACATACACGCACGCACACCCGGTATATATGGCTATCCTGTGCGTGCCGTAAGGGGTAGTCAGGTTGTGAATCGGGGCACGGTAGAGGAACCGAGACAGACACCCCGAAACCTTCATTACCTTCGGCTTCAAAGGAGCCCATTGTGCCGTAAATGGGGTTCGCTCCTCTTCCTCCTCCTCCTCCTCCTCCTCCTTTTTACTTTTCTTCTTTTCCTTTTTTTTATTTCTTACCTTTTTTTCTTTTTCTTTTTTACTCCTTTCTTCCCTTCCCCCCCCTCTTTTCCCTCGCTCTGTTCCTGCGTACCCCGGATCCGTTCCATTCTTCGGCCCGTTTGCCTTTCCGAGACGCCGTCAACAGAGGGCGAGGAGGAGGAAGAGGAGAAGAGACACTTGCCCGCTCGTTTACGTAAATTCTCGAGTAATTTCGAGTGAAAAGGGGGAAGGGGGTTGGAAGGGGCGTACGAAGGGGGAGGGGGAGGGAAGAGTGTAACGTCGCGGAACCTCCCCTCGCGCGATCGAGGGGGAGGAGAAAGGGGACGGAGAAAGGAAGAGGGGGACAACGGGCCGTTTAAGAAGTCTTTGAATCGAGAACTCGTTTCGAGCCCGCGGCTCTCTCTCTCTGCCCCTCGAACGACACGCTTCTTCCCCCTTCCTTCGTCGTCCTCGCTGTCCCTTCTTACCTATACATCCACGCGGACTGGTCTCGAACTCCCTCTCCCGAAGATAGCGGCCGATCTAACTTCGTGGCGTGGACGAATCGAAGAAGGGAATTTTTACCAGCGAGATTCACTTGTATCGAACAAAATCGAATCGTCTCGTGCGTCGCGTAGATCTCTCGTTGATATCGAAATTTTCGGTCACATCTGAAAGGGATTTCGATCGATAAGACGTTTCTTTACGAAAATCAAACGTACGATTTCAGCGACACAGTCTGGACCGACTCCCGTCCGCGCGGAGCTTGTTAAATCGGCCATAAAATGGGAAATAATCTCGAGTTACAGGCGGGTGTTGTAGCGGGTGATATCGTGAACGCGACTCATCCCTACGTGGCGCTTAACACCGGCCACCTTCTTCCGGTAATGGCCTCGTGGTGTCGCGTGTACTTCGCGAGGGAACACGAGAAGCGTTCCGCGGAGGACGCGATGAAAGCGATACTCTTCGCGGGCGAAAACCCTCCTCCTCCTCCTCCTCCCCCTCTGTTCCTTTTATTTCGGAGAGGAGAGAAAATTTACGGCCGCGGTTCATCCGCGGAAATTAAATACCGCCGGATAATTCCGTGGAGGAGGAATCGTGGAGGAGGAAGGGAGAGGGGGAGCTTTCTCCACCACGGTTCGAGGATGGGTGGAGAGGAACGAGCAGGTCGAGGAGGAAACGGTGATCCTTTGAGACACTCGATATTTTCCTGGCCCTTTCTCCTCCACCGCGAACCTCCTTTCTCGTATCAGAAAATCCGAGAAGCTCTCTCTCTCTCTCTTTCTCTCTCTTCGTGCCAGCTTCGATGAATTAGAAGATGCCAAAGAAGTGCTCGGCTGCCTAGCGCGTATCCTTCGGTCTGGAGGAGAGGGATAGGAGGATATAGCGTGTCAACCGTGCGAAAGGATACGATGCGATGTGTGGAAGAACGATCTCCAGAGTTTGAAACAAAAAAGAAAAAGAAAAAGGTTGTTGTTTTTGGAATTTTGAGAAACGAGCTTGAGAAACGTATTCCCCAGTGATGGTCAACTTGTTTTTTTTTTTTTTTTTTTGTATTACGAGTTACATACGTGTTAGGATCGCGAGTATCGCGTGTCTTTTAGACACGATGTTCGGGGAACGTTGACAAAGAAGAAGACGGTCGAGAGACCTTTTTCTCGCCGCAAGAAGAAGTTGGAGCAGAAAATGGACACGCCGTTTCTAGTAGAAGTCGAGTGCGTGTTGTCGAGGACCCGAGTTTGGATCCTGTGTCAGAGCCCGGTTAGGATGATCGGTCTGCGGTGTAGGGTGACGCGATTCAAAGGGCCGATAGATGGCAAAAACTTGCGTCCGCGGTGCATCGTATCATGTTCTAGATCATGAGCTTCGAATACTGGAGAAGTTTTGGCGATATATATGTAACCTTCCTCGCTCACGTGAACCGATGCGACCTAACCACCGCTTATAATCATTCGCTTGTAACTCTAATAATACGAGTATCTGAAAAACAATATATATCGAGTATATGTAGTTAATGGTCATGTGGCGCTAGTGTCGCCAGCCATCTTAGATCCTTACTGTTCCCTTATTAAAATCTCGATACGATCTTTTACGAGCCAAAGATTGGACGTATAAATCCGTTAATTTCACTTCTTCGAAATTTTTTCATTTAAATTCCCGCACGAATTCCCCGAGAGCAGTCTCTCTCGATTAGTTAAAAAAAAAAAAAAACCAAGAAATAAAGAGATCCGCGGTCGTGCCAAGTTGGAAAAAACGATTTTTGCCGGTGATTGGGGTGTGTTCCGAGTGCGTGTACGAGCGGTAAAAAATGGCTCGATAACCGTGTTCCCGTGCGCGCACGTACACAAAGACGGGTGTAGGTGAACGCTTCTCAGCGTCGTGGCCGGGCCTTCTTTCGGCGATTCGCAGGAGAAAGAGGGACGAAAAGGTGG